ACCATCATCATACCACCTAATTGCTTTAGGTTTTCCTGAATACATAAACAATTATAATTAATTACTGTATTATCAAGTATAATTCTCTACTATCATATTTTTAATGGCTAAGGCAAGCAACACTTCTGCATAGCTGTTATTTTTGTGGATTTTATGATGTACAAAAATTTGTATTTTGCCAAAAAATGTCGTATGGAAATACTAAACTTTGCTTGCCGAAACACCAAAATTTTGATTTTAAAAATATAGTTTTGCAGATAATGGACAATATCTAATACCCTCAAAATACTCTATAGATTATTAGTACATATAATTATATCTTACCATGTTCTTTTCTAAGTTGATCTAGCAGAACTGAATCTTGTTTAATTAATGATAAAAAGAGACTTGCTCTCTCAACGTTGCTCCTTGTCTTAATTTCCTTGATTTTAGGTATGTCAACATTTTCTGTCATTGCATAATGAAATAGTTCAAGTGATTCCAATGTTGACAGTTCACTCTCTTCATCTTTTTTAATAAGAGCAATATGAACATCTCCCTCTTGATCAGTATCTAATGATCTTGCTAGACACCATCCTTCAGTACGCTCTTCCTTGATCTCAAGTTTCTCTCCTTTCTTGATTGGAAGTTCACCACTTTCCCTTGCCTCCCTGCTATACATAGCTACATAAACTGGTCCTTTTGGTGGATCTATTGATTGTGTAGACTGATCCTTTCCTAAAATACCAGTACTAGTCATTATGTTAATATAATGCAATACATACTAAGAGTAATTGAAGTTTCTTTCAGTTGTTGTATATTCATTAATGATATCTTTTCCTGTAACTGCTCTATCACCTTTTCTCTTTCAATTAATGTTTCTTCTATTCCTAGTCATTAATAATAGTCGATCATTAATACAAATCAAAAATTGGTCACTATTTTTAAAACAATAATTATCAATAATTTGTGCATCATTTATTTGCATGTAAGAAGGACCAGTATTAGTATTGAGTATATACAATCATCCTCCTACTATAACAAATTAATGTACAAGCAATAATGATACTCTAAACACAGCTGTACTCTATTCTCATTATACAGTATTAAGTATGTCTGTATATATACCTGTTTTGCTTACAAGAGATGATCGTAAATGATCTATTTCCATTTGCATTGCTTTTGTCATCTTCTTTTTACTCTCTTCCTTCTCAGACTCTAAATAATAAAAATGAACCAATTAAATTATTAGCAACAACAATTTAGCTACATGATGTATTTATTTAAAATTCATGAACATGACAATATTCATAGATGTCATGTCTCAAAACATGAATGTCAATATACCTGATGATTGTATTGATGACTTATTGCTTTCATCGAATTCTCTACCTTCATATGAGATACCTTTAAATTATCAATAATTATAATTAATAATAATTAGTATATACCTAATGTGTCTATTGTACCCTTCAATTTAGCATTCTCCTCAAGTAAATCATCTCTTTCACTCTCTACCATCTCCAGTTTCTTCATTAGACTCTTCACCTCCTATCAAATATTAAAGTATACTATTAATTTATACACACATACATTCACTAACCTCATCAATTCCATGTTCATCATACACAGTATAGTAACCAATAGTTAAACTAATCAATCCCATCTCCTTTAGCAAATCAACATTATCTCTAGCTGTCACTAGTAAACTCTCCATCAGATAATGAGGAGCATAACAAGTAACAATGATGGAGTTCCCTTCCTTGATCACTACCACCTCCACTTGATTATCCTTGAACGTTTTCCATAGGAGGGCTCTGATACTGGAGAGAGAATGCTCACTTGGATTCCATTTCAGAACAAAACTTGATCGTCTCACAAGTGAGGAGAGAAGAGGATAATCTCTTAAGCTGACGATCACAAAACATTGTTAATTTGTTCTCACAGAATTCATCCAAGTGTGTCTGATAAGCTAATA